TAGCTTAGCTAATTTGTAACAGCTTATATTTGAGAAATGCAAGCAATGTATAATGACTTAAAAGTCTTCCTCTCTGGCTCTTTGGACACAGGACTCTTTGGCTCACAGGACAATAAACAGAATTAATGATAAAAATGTCAACAAGTAAGGTAAGGAAAAAAATTAGAGTAATAGATTTTTAAAGGGTTAGAATATCAACAATTTAGACTTTTCTTCGGTTATTTTACCTTCAAAGACAAATGAAAGTTAATATGGTAGCAAAAAATCTTAATCTCCTTATTTCTCCATAAGTGTCATAATATGTCATATACATTTTCATATTTCTGTTCTTTAACCTATTTTTCTTTTCAAAAAGTTCCTATAATCTATTTAGCAAAACAATTGCATAAAAAATATTTAAGTTACCTTCACATTAACAAGTGGATAAGTTACAGTAAATATTTACATAGACAAACATGGGGTATATGTCAACATTTTCTTGACAGATGGTAACTTATTTATTTCATCAGTATCTCTCTCCTTTTCTATATCCACTCAGTTCATTGACATCTTACAGAAGCAATAGTCAATAAACATAATAATGATTCAACCTGGTTAGTACTTTTTAAAGCAAATTAAATTCTATCGGTTTGGCAAAGTACATATATGGAAATGCTCAATATTGACAAGAATCCATGAGGCAATCACTCAGTGCACACTGATGAGAGTACGAGTTGGAACACCCTTTCTGGAAAGCAATTTGGCGATATATGTATATCGAAACTCTTGAATATGTCTAGACCCTTTGATTATATTTCCAGCATTCAAGTCTAAAAAACTCATCCAAGGTAATAACAAGATCTAAGTACAGAGATATTCACCAAAGAGTTATTTATAACAGTGAAAACTTAGAAGGAACCTGAATGGCCAACAACATGGGAAGGTAGATAAAATGGGAATATTAAATACATAATGTCACATCTATTTGATGAAATACTGTACAGACACTAAAAGTCATATTTTTGAGGAATATCTAATATCACAGGAAAATGCTCCTAAAAAAATATCATGTTTTAAAAAAAGCAGACTGTAAAACTTTATATGCATGGTATACCATTTTGGTAAAGATTACTATACTTGATTAAATAGATATGAATATAGGCATCATAGAAAGAAATACAGAAAATATTCACACTGTTGGTCTTGAAGGGGAAGATAAATAATTTTTATATTCTTCCCTATGCTCTTTATCACTTGCTCTATTATACTATCCTTCTTTACTATGTTTATTTTGTTTCCCCCACTAAAACATAAGCTCTATGATGGGAGGAATTTGTTTCTTCTGTTCACTGTACCTAGACACACAGCAGTCATTTCAATAAATATTTATTAATTAATAAATACTATATGTGTATACACACACATATTTATCTATAAAATGAGCATTTATGACTTTATTAATCAGAAGAAATAAACATTATTTTGAAAGAAAATATAAATTCCCTACTACAGAATTATTAACCTAATTCTGATCTTCAAGAGTAGTAATTGAGCTCAACCTCTCATTTCATCATCAATTATCCAAAATCCTGCATGAAAAAAAGCAGTCTATGGCCATGACCCCCAACTCGGATTTGGGAGTTTTGTCAAGGTTTCCAGCTGAAATGTCAATTAGAAATTACTTGGACATCAGTCATATGTGCATACAATGTCAACCACACTGAAAACCCCAAACTTTTTCTCCTTAGCACCCACTAGATGGCCACAGGTATTTCTCATCTAGGTTGACCCACCTACATTAGGAAACCTCACCTGATGGTTATATGGATACTGCCTTTCCCTTGATCCCAGACATCAAAGTCAACGGTTAAGAATATTAAATAAAAGAAATTTCTAAATAAAATAAAGATCTTTCACTCTAACAAACATGAGTAGCTGGTAATCAATTGGTAACTTCAAATATTTAGAATTCAGATGGTAATTATTCATTCTGATGACTCAAAATAGATGTCAAAAGGACAGATGTATTTTCCATTGGAAAGCCCCCTGGTCCCATCCAGAGCCTATTTATTCTTAATTTACTTAAAATTTTAACAAGGTTGATTAACCAAAGGAGAAACCTGTCATAAAATGTAAGTGTCAGTTACATTCCAAACAGTTTTTAGGTGCCAGAGATAAGCAAAATAGTTACATTTTAGTGGGGAAGACAGACAATCAACATGAAAACAAATAATTAGGTAAATTCAGATTACATTATGTATATGACAGCAGGGTTCATGTGGAAAGGGCATGGGCGTGATCGGTGATTATAGAATGTTATGAGAATTTATAAGCTGAATGATGAGGAGGCAGGAATGTACAGATCTGGGAGAAGGTCATTCCAAGCAGAGGAAATATCAGGTACAAAGCCTCTGAGGCTGGAAAGCACTTGGTCTATTTTTAAAAGAACAAGAAGGTCACTGTAGCTGGAGTCTAGAAAGCAAGGGAAAGAAGAAAGGAGATGAGGTTGACAAGGTTGGGTCCTGTAGAGTGTGGTGGCCTTGTTAAAGGGTCTGGATTTTATTCTGGGTGTGATGGGATTGCATGGATTTAAACAAGGAACTGATAGGATCCGATTATGAGCAAACAGTAAGGAATATTAACTGCCAAATAAGAGAGAAGAAAAAAATGTGAAAATCAGATACAATCTCATAAATAGCCTGAAGCAACTTAGAGAAAGGACTAACACGCCTATATCTCCATCACAGGCTCTGAAGGTGTCAGTGCATTACAGCATCCTAAATAGCTGATGTTTATCACAATAAGTAGGATTCACCAAGAAAACATGAAAGTATAAAATACTACCATACATTTACATAGCACTTCCAATATTTTATAAATGGTAAAATAGGTATCATCTGAAAATATGCTTTTTAGAATGGCAAGGAGAATATAATATCAGAGTTTCATCTAAATGATTTATTTTATGCTTCAAGAAATAAATCTTTAGCTAATCAATAAACTTAGTTACCTGAAATAACTCCATTTCTGAGATTTCTGAATAGGCAAAGTTTTAAGCTGTCTTTAAAATAATCAACGTACAAAAATCCCTTTCTCTTCCTTACTTTGCATTGCAACCATCATCTAGGTATAAAATCCACTCAAAAAATATGTTTTTAAATCCATGCTCGACCAGACAAAACCAGTTCTTTCATCGTCACTTAAATATATTCCTATCCCCTCTCCTCTACACAGGCTGTGGTCTCATGTTCTAATCTCTCTCCTCAGCTGCCCACTATCTCAACTCAAATCCCATCTCCTTCATTTCATCCTCATTGGGTCCCGAAAAGAAGCAAGCACTGTAAAAGTACATTTTTTTCCCATTTATAATTAGAAATAAAGTGAACATTTGGCATTGTGTGAATAAAATGGATTTCTTTAAATACACTTCTGTGCTTCATCCACAAAGCATTACTTTTCTAATTGCTGGAAGTCTGAACTTCTCAGATTTTCCCACCATATGATGCTAAGTTTGCTCACCACTGTTTAAGGTAGTTATTGTCAAATCACTTTAAGTACATTTTTCCTTTTGTAATTAATTAGTCATCTATGTGACAATGTGAATATTCTGGTCTCCAAAAATTCTTTCACTCAGTGCTTCTTACAATTTCACTCTTTTAATTATAAGTAATAGTGTGTACTCCTGGGAAAGCTTCAAATTTAAAGAACTATGAATGTTCTTTCCTCGCCCCACCCCAAATGCCCAGTCATACCTCCACAGAGGTCAGCTCTGTTTACTGATTCTTGTGTTTCCTTCTGGAAATTTTCAATGTATACACAAACATTTACACATTTCTTCTTTTTTTCTAAATCACAAATGGGACCATATTATATATACTGTCTTGCAACTTCATTTATTTTTCCGTTAATATATCCTGGACTTCCTTCCTATCACCTCATATAGATTCATCTCATTTTTTTAAATGGTGACAGAGAATTCTATTTACCATTATTTATTTAATTAGTCTCCTAAATGCACATCATTATAATTTTCACTTACAGTTTTATATGATATCAAACAATGCTACAATCAACATCCTTGTATATATAACTTTACACGCTTTGTGTGAATAACATTGGAAAGAAAAATTGCTAGAAATATTACTGCTGGATACAAATATGTTTAATTTCTTTTCTTTTGATAGATAATCACCAAATTTTCTTTCAAAATTGCATCAGTCTACGCTCCCGTTAACAGCAATGCTAATTCCTCATCCCTTCTTCCTCATCAACAATGGACCTTAGCAAATTATTTAATCTTTACCAATCTGATAGGTGAAGGAAAAACAGCAGCTCACTAGTGTTTTAATTTTTATTTTTTTAACAAGAAGATCAAGCATCTTGTCACGAATTTATTGAATATTTGAAATCTTTTCTCTATGAAATATTTAAAGCCTCTGTCCTTTTTTCTATTAGGTATTCCTAACAAAGAACAATATTTGATATTTTAAGCAATATATTTAAAGAAATGTACAACAAGCTTCATTATAATTTTCAAAAAATATTATTTTAATTGGTAACCTAAACCTAAGTACTCTCTCCAAAAAGCTGCGGTTCCTGGAAGTATATATCTAATTTCAGTATGTTTAATAAACCTTTATAAACTTGACCTTTATATTGAGAATACATTAATAAATGTGCCAGAGAATTTCCTATATTAAAATCGCCGTAATTCTTTTTTAAAACAAAACAAATTTCTATAGGCAATTAATAGGAAGCAACTGAAAATTAAGAAATCAGCATATTGATCTTTAGCTAACATTTTAGAACCACTAATTTCAACTATGGCTTCTTATTTAGTACTAAACTAAGAAGGCATTTCCAAGAACAGGAAAACCAAAAACCTAAATTAAATCTGTCTTGAGAGAGCACAGTACATCCATCTTTCACTATTACATGAGCTACTCTTTTTCTACTTCAAAAATCAATTTCTTAAAGACCAGGAGTAAACAATCACGTGTTGGAGTGTGGTAAGCACTTGCCTGATCGATGTAAAAAGCCGTGCCTGCGCGGATCTCTCGACGCTGTTTGAGATCAGTTTCGGTGGTGTCTCTTGATAAGGCGATGTATTCAACCTCCCGTTTGGTCAACTCCTGAAGAGCAGAGCATGTCCCAAAATAAAAATCAAGTTCCCAACGTATGCTTTGGAGCCAGTTATCTGACAATGTCACTCTACAGAAGAGCATTTTAAATGTAATTCTAGATTAAAGCCTTTTGAGCCTCAGCTTTAAGAAAAATGCAATAAATGCAGCATTAACCAAAATATGTATATATCTCTCCTCAGAGCTCTACTTTTACTGTACACAATAATTTATGACTTAATTACTTACTACTTAAGCAATAATAATCAAAATTAGATCTTATAAATCTTAATGTCTCCTGTAGAGTTCTTTTCAAATATCAAGAGTAATAATTTGGCTATTACTTGATTTTCAGACAGACGATAGTCATCTCTGTAAGTAGTGTTCATCTTTTTTTTAAAGGGTGATTTAAATTAATTTACTCCAGGAGCCAATGTTTACCAACTATATATTGATACAATATGTTAGGTATTTAACAAGTGTGAAAATAAGGTAAATATCAATAGTCAGGAGAGACACATACATAACTATTCAGGAAGGAAAAGAAGAAGTGAGATGAGAAGGAGGAGGGGGGTAAGGGGGTTATTATTTCACACACAAAAAGTCATTTGATTTGAAGGAGAAACCATCCAGAATCCATTTCTTTTAGAATAATTATCCCTAATTAATTTTGCCATATATGTAGCAACTATGTACAAAAAGTTTTTAACATTATCCTTGGTTTTACAATGTTGAATTAAAAGCAATGACGTGCTCCAATCCAATAAGGCATACAATATGTTCTTACTAAACAGGAAGAACAAATTAATTTACTGGACGAGTATAAAGAAAAATGTTGAATGAGCATGCCATTAATGGTGAAAGGGGATATTTCCACACAATGGGATTTTTTTCTCCACCTTGTCTCCATGTGATGTTGATAAAAATACATTATTATTGTCATTTAGTTTTTTAAAATGTGCTGGGTCCCATGCACCCATAAATTTCAGTATATGTGGAAAGAAGGGAAAAGTTTTAAATAGAGAAAACATACACCATAGTGGTGAAGATGTGGTGATACCAAATGATGTTTCTCTAAATAAGAAAGAATTGCCCACGAGAGCACAATTTTGGAGTTAAGTAGCAGGTTTTCTTTTAGCAGATACCTCCTTCTGACTTCGCCTTCCTGTCTTGTTTAATTGATTGTCTGAATACGATCTCCCACACTGAAAAACCCTGTCATTCACACTGGTTGACAAAGTGGTGTATGCCTCTTACTGTTAAATTGTACCACGGTAGCACCCTGAACTGCCACAATGAGGATGTTATCCTCAGTCTTGAGTTTCCTGGGACTCTTCACCAGCCAAGACAAGCACCAAGGTCTCCTCAGCTGCGGCTTCACAGAAGCGGTACCAGCAAGTTGACAAACAGCACCAGAAGCAGCAGATGGGAGAGGCGCCAGAGGTCTGTTGAGGTTTTTTTGAACTATCTACAAAACTCATTTCATATGAGTGAAATATGAAATAAACGCAACTATCAAATTATTTCTATTTAATTTCTCATTGGTTCAACAGGCTTTCCCCCAAATTTCTGCCTTTAAAGATGTCATCTACTTTGGCTCTTACTATGCATAGGATCCTATAGCTAATGACAGCAGTACCCATTGCAGAGTTTGGAAGGCAGCTTAGGCTATTAAGTTTTCTTCCATGTATTTCCACATCCTAAAGCTGCCTCAGCTCTAATTCACAATTTAAAGTTTGGCGCTTGTTGTCTTTTTAAGATACAAGCTTTGTACTTATAAACTTGAGTTGCATTTTTGAGCCAACAAGACTCCTATAATCTCCTAGCCTGGCTCATTCCACACTTCTAACAAGCTTCAAAGTCTTGCAAGAAACAAAATCAAAGTGAGATATTGTGGACTTTGAAATGAGCCAGGCAGTGAGTGCACATCTTAAAACTAAAGAGGTTCTAGACCTGGGATTTTCGGTGGCTGACTCTGCGTTCTTAGACAAGACACTTTTCCCTTGCATATTAATAAAGTGAGGATAATACTACAATGGCACGTTGTACCTCACAAACTGGTTCTAGGAACAAATAAAAATATGAAATTTATGAGCTAGAGGGAGTTAGTTTCTGATATGTTCATTCTATTTTTATCATTCCTGCCCTACATGATTTTGAAAGTACCAAGATAAATTCACCACCGAAATAGAAGAGTACGCGAAGTACATTTCAATAGCTTAGAAATCAATTATTTAATATCAAGTTACAAAGGAAACTTTAAGTAAGCTTTTTCTCTTCATCCTGAAAAGTATCTTTGGGACAGACCTACTTATCTGATAGTGTTCTTCCTTGAATCATTAGAGCAATGCCTATTAACGCTGACAAAGTAGTAGAAAACAAGTCCTGTAAATTTTTTAAAATTTGTGTCGAGATTTGAATATTTCAACTCGCTTCACAACCGTACTCAGAGAACTACAAACATTTAAGGGGATAACATGTCAGAAAGGGGAAGCAATGTGAGATCTGAAGTCTAGCTCCATCATTTACGTATAAAGCGTGAGTTATTTAATTTCTCTGAACTTATTTTCTCATCTATTTAAGAAAAAAAAAAAGAGTGCAAGTTAACACATAAGAGCGATTCTGTAATCCTTAGGCTCCCTTTAAGACCACATAACATCAAAAAGTCAGAATTATTTGGCTTTTCAAAATGTGGACCGAAGATAAAAGAATGCTTCCTGAATAGTATAAAACTACACTTTGTTTTGTAATCTCAGTGTTGCTGATTCTATCTGCTACTCATTGCCTGAATTTAGATAGATCTCTTTCCTACTGGAAGTGGAGGGTTTTCTACTTACAACAACACTTGCTAAAGCTATGAAAGGCAAATGTACATTTACTTCCCAAGTAACTTATTCCAAATGCTTTATAAACAAATCACCCTTCAACGTCAACATTTTTAAAGCAATGACTAATCCTGATATTTTTATAAATTCTTAATTTATTTACAAAATAGCTTATCATAGTTAAGACCCTTAGGAATCCACAAGAATTCATTGCTTACCAGGTACTGCATAGCAATAGAGCGGCGAAGAGGCCCAGGAGGTCCTATTAGAAAGACATCTTGCCCCAAAAGATCCTTCTGCATTATCCATCTTAGATGTTGTATTACTGATTGAGCCAGAGAGTCTGAAACTTTAAGGTGGAAAAAAGGTAAAATGAAATGCAAATCAGAATACTACATATAAGTCTTCAAGCAACCAATGCAGACAGTACATTAAGTTAATATATATATATATTATATATACATACACATATATACACACATGCACACACATGCATATATACATATACACATATATACATTCATACATACATCTGGTGAATTTTCACACTGTTTTACAATAAAACCATTATTATCTAATGTTATAACAGAACAAAGTTTATTACATCACAAAGAGCCACATAATCCCATACTTCAAAGCTTATTAAGAAACAGGAATTCTCTGGTAGTCCAGTGGTTAAAACTTGGGCTTTCACTGCTGTGGACCCAGGTTTGATCCCTGGTCGGGGAAGTAAGATCCCACAAGCCACATGATGTGGCCAAAAAAAAAAAACCTTATAAGAATGCTTGAACAATGTGTCACCAAAGGAATGAAAGTGATTTTCAAGGGTGATATGAGCAGTTAGTACCATTACTTTGTCACAATTTTAAAGCCCATCTCTTTTGTTCGAAAAAGGGGATATGACCAAATCATCCCAGACAATTAATGATTATCACAGTTTTGAAAAATTTTTTAAAGCTATAATAAGTTGGCACTGGGTTGTGAGATCTCTCAAACTTCACAGTTAGGAAGTCTGATGTAGACTTAAATGACTTCTTTAGAATTTAAGTCTACTCTATACCAACTCTTTTGGGAACAGAAGACTACTCCGTATAATGCCCTTCTAACTCTATTTTTTTTTTTTTTTTTTTTGCCACGTGGCATGCGGGATCTTAGTTCCCCGACCAGGGATCAAACCCATGGCCCCTGCATTGGGAGTGTGGAGTCTTAACCACTGGACCACCAGGGAAGTCCCTAACTCTACTATTAAATCACCCATCAATCCACTCATCTTCTCCCTAAACATTTTTTTAAATGTTTGTATTAATACAATTAATTTGTGTTTGCTCACTTATAAGTCACCCAGTGACCTAGCAAGTGCTTCCCTAGGTATACAAGAAAAACTCTTGCCCTTATACATTGAGATGTATAGAATACTCACAGCAGTGTGGCTCAAAATAAAACTGGAGACAGGAGATGGATAAAAAGCATGCAGTGGAATATTATATAACAACAACAAAAAAAACCAGAATGAACTACCACCATTTCCAACAATATGTTTAACTCTTAAATAAGAAAAAAACTTGTCACAAAATAAATCATACATTAATGATTAATATCACTATTTTGATAAAGCTCAATAAACTAGCAAGTTGAATTCTTTACAAATACATACATACATGATAAAACAGTGCTTGAAAAAGCAAAAATGCAAAAGTGATAAATTCAGGATACTTGGACATGGAATCAGAGAGATTCTCATGGATAACTTCAACGGTATTCGTAACATTCTACTTCTTAAATTGGGTGTGGGTACAGTGTTTCTTTTACTATTATGTTGCATTTTATACATAAACACATACAATACTGATGTTATGTATATGTATATATATATATGTATTGTGTAAATGTATATAAAAAACATAAAGTCTTTTGGATGTGTTGAATAACCCATACTTGTTAATCTTTGTTTAATCATCCAGGAAGGTCATGAAAGAATTCAAAGATCAATCTAAGAACGCTTGCCTTGGACTAAAGCTGTGCTTCCCCCCCGCCCCCTCCACCAACAGCATAATCTTGCTAGGGTGGTTCCCCCTACCCTTCCTGAAAAAAGTTAACATTGAATCATTGGAAAAAATAAAGATAAATTTCTGATTTTCTTAATCATGGTGGGAAGATCAAGGACAATGTTTTGGGCAGACTGGTTGGTGTATCACATCACTGGGGTCACATTAAACCATTTTATAATTTCCCCAAAGCAATGCTTCTATGTCTGAAAATCAGGAGACTCATCACCCCAGTGGAGGTGCTTGGCTTCTCTCCTGTCCTCTACGAAGCCTCTACACCATGCATGGGGGCAAAAACTGGTTCTTGGAGGGGGACTTGAGAATAATTCTTAGCTATTACAATGGTCTGTTGCCCACTAAAGGGATGCTGTGCATCAACAGATATACAATATATCTGTGCATTGAATTCCACGGAATTGGGGAGAGACAATTGGGGGAAAATGTTCTTAGGAACAATAATGAAAAACAGAATAAAAAACATTGCCCAATAATGAAAAACAGAATAAAAAACATTGCCCCAAGACCTATACCTCTGAGAATCTCTCAAGGAGCTCCACAACGCTAGGAAGCAATTCACCTGTACCTCATTCTTAACTATCAGATGTCCACTTAACTATTTTTCTTTCTTACTCCAGGCTTAAATCTTTGTCATATATGGTCTACTCTTTCTTATTTCAAGGTAAGTCCATCTGCTTGCTGTTTAAGGATGAAACAAAATAAGAGTTAAGAAGCTCTAATTTCTCCATCAGTAAAATTACGCAAAGTTCCCTATGCTGCAGATCTACCACCTCTTCTTACTTTGATATCAAATATATAATTAAAAACGTAAACACTTTGGGTTATTTTACATTTTCACAAATCTCAGTTTACTTTGGCCACAGGTCTTCTCTATTCTTAAAGTTTTATGTTGCTTCTTTGTATTCACCTTTGGAAATGTGCCTGACCTTTCCTTACCTGGACTTGACTATTTAAAATATGAAATTTCCAAAGTTCTATCAGGTAAAGCCAAGTTGCTCTCTTCAGCTTCCTCCACCTTTTATTATTTATAACTATTTGTAACTATTCATAATGACAGAGTCTCAGTAGAGTTCCATTCCATTTTGAATGCCTTGACCTTGGAACTCATATTTCTTTTCAAGATTTTTTTTTTTTAAATCGAAGGTAGGATTTCCTAATCAAATGTGAGGTCTTCGCCTCACAAGTTGTCAGTGTTAGCGAAGTGCTGACATTTAGGAATAATTTATCTTTTTCTTAGCAAACTGAAGGAAGAATCAAAATTATAATAAAAGAGCAGTTTGTACACCAGTGTACTTTCTTAAGTGGGAGAGAAAGGCATGGAGATGGAGTTATTTAAAGCCGGATCCTCGGAATTGTGTAGAACTTTGAGTATGTTCATGGGAGTGTCTTCCACTCAGCATGATCCTCACGTGCTGAGAACCACTGGCCCTAAGGCATATCTGACAATTCGCAGCAATCCCTTCCTTTGCTCTTACCACTCAACAGTGGTTCTCAACCAGTGGCAGTACTGCCACTACTCCATGCCTGCCAGAGGCATCTGGAAATGCCTGACTCTACATTTCAATTCTACATAAGTTTCTTAATATGGATAAGCAGCTTCTGAACCCTGTGGCTTGCCTTGTAGTCTACGCTATACCCTCATAAAGACCTCTTCTTTTCCCTTCTTTTGTCTTCCCTTAATAACTCGTATGATAGTCATAATTTATTGCCTTCCTGTCATGTGCTGGGTAAAAATACGAATGATTTTTCATACTCTCATTTAGATCTCACAACAACCCTAGAAGGTAGCAGACTACCGCATATAAGGATATAGACTCAACCCAAACTGTTTAAATCCCAACTGTTTTAGTATAGCTGTTTACTGTGTAATCTTAATCAGTTACTTAAATTCTCTGTGCTCAGTTTCTCCATCTGTATAATGGATATGATAAATGAACTTACTTATAAGGTGGTTATGAGGATTAAATTAGGCACTTAGAACAGTGTCCAATAGTAGTATAAGCATTTGTTAAATATTCATTGTCCCCATTTTGTGAATAAAAAAATCAAAGTTCTTATGGTGGCCTCATTTGTCCACAGTTGATAAGTTCATAAACCAGGATTGAGACCTAAATTGAGTCCAAAGCTTGCACTCCAGCCACCATGTCCTACTGCTCCTCTAAAATCTTTTTAACAGGCTCTATCTTCAGGTCCAAGACTTTCCCTACAAGTATGAACCTCACAGGGCTCCATCAAATTTAGTGGACTTGCTCTTATGGACACTAATTCTATTTCTTGGGCTTTGGTGATACCAGTGATACCTCCTTTTATTAAAATTTCAAATTCAATTTGTTGTTTACATTATGTTATCAGAGAACTCACTTCTCAAAAAAAAAATCCCATTTTCACTTATTCATATTTCAGTAGATCGTATTTTGTCAAAGAAAATGTTTAATTTGTCAGGAAGTCGTATTAAACTACTGAGAGAAAGCGTTAGGTACTACTGTGTGGTGTCTGTGGTATATTTTACATTAATGCTTGAAACTAGCTGTATTTTTAGGATGACCTCAAGAAAACATGAGTCATACTTAAAAGTGTTCCAGAAATAGAAACAAGATGTAAGACTGTACATTACAAACATCTGCAAAACAAACTGGCAAACTGCCGTGCATAACCTAATATAAACACAGCCCAGTGCACGAGAGAAATTCCCGAACTCAATGTTTCCAGGCACAAGATGCTACCTTCTTTTTTTTTTTTTAATTGGAGTATAATTGCTTTAAATGTTGTGTTAGTTTCTGCTGTACAATGAAGTGAATCAGCTATATGTATACCTATATCCCCTCCCTCTTGGACCTCCCTCCGATCCCCCCCATCCCACCCAGCTAGGTTGTCACAGAGCACGGAGCTGAGCTTCCTGTGTTTTATAATGCTCACACTAGCTATCTATGTTATGCATGATAGTGTATATACGTCAATCCTGATCTCCCAGTTTGTCCCACCCTCCCCTTCCTCTGCTGTGTCCACATGTCCGTTCTCTATGTCTACGTCTCTATTCCTGCCCTGCAAATAGGTTCATCTGTACCATTTTTCTAGATTCCACATATATGCATTAATATACGATATTTGTTTTTCTCTTTCTGGCTCACTTCACTCTATATGACAGACTCTAGGTCCAACCACATCTCTACAAAACACCCAATTTCATTCCTTTTTATGGCTGAGTAATATTCCATTGTATATATGTACCACATCATCTTTACCCATTCATCTGCCGTTGGACACTCAGGTTGTTTCCATGTCCTGG